TACCCATAACCGTAACACTAGGCAAATGAACACTTAATTTTTTGAAGTCCTAAATAGGCTTAGAAACACTAAAAAAAACACTAAAAAATTTGTGCTAGATGTGGCGAATCACCGTGAATCTAATCTAATCTAATCTAATCTAATGCTCCTCCCAAAGTAAGCCTTGATAGCGCGTCGTCATCATCTCTTTATGCTGGCCTTGCCCAATCCAGTCAGATATTTTGAAGGGAGTTTTTGGCTCATTGGAAGTACTAGTAAAATGAGCCTGAGGTGGGGTGAAGAGGATTTTCAAAAATCAAGGATATTTGTTCGCATATCCTATGCAAAAAGCTTAAAAGACAGTGCGCACCACCACGGTGCGCGCGCCTTACCAGTTCTTGGCCTGATCATCACTGAGTTAAATCACGTTGGCTGCTCAGCGAACCCGACAGTTTCTGTCATAAGCGACTATTAAAGTCACCCATCCTCCGCCGTGGTGGTCCCTGCTGTTCCGAGCGGCCATAGTTGACCCGCCAATAAATTACATCGTAACCGTCACCTTCTTTGCCTCCATATAGGTGTTGGGAACAAAATGAACACTTTTGGAGACCATCACAGCTCGGCTGGCTATCTGAACACCTGAGAAAGTGAACAGTTGGCGTAACGCGTAACATGGTGTGAACACTTGGTCTGAATAGTACAGTATTTGGATGTTCACGGAGCGGCTAAAAGAGCAGGGTAAATGAGGGGCTAGAGAGAAGGTAGAAAGCCCCCGTGGATCGCGGTGATCACTCCTGCTGGATAACACGGCATTGGCATCACATATAAAGGAGAGGTGTAGGTTCGATCCTGCGGAGGCTTTAGTATAGCGGGAATAACTTTTTAATGGATCCAGCTAGCAGAGCGGAATAAAACCAGGGTTAGATGGGAGGTGGGAAGCCGCCGTGGATCGGGGGTAAAAAACCCCCGTGGATTGTGTTGATCACTCCTACCTGTTGTAGGATCAAGTTGTAATGCCACATGCAAGGAGAGATGTAGGTTTAACTCCTGCCGGCGGCTTAAGGGTGGTCATATTTTTTTTGTTCGAGGACATAGCTACAAAAGAAGACGAGGGTAAGTACGGGGCTAGAAAGCCCCAGCGAATCGCGATGTTCATTCCCTCCAAATTCTAATTTATCGTTGTAGATTTTGTGGGAGAGCAGCAGGCTCAATTCCTGCCGATGATATGAAGGCGCAGAAGAAAAGGTTTATGGAGCCAGCTAAAGGGTAGGGTAAATGCGGGGCCAGAGGGTAGATAGGAAGCCCCCGTAGAACGCCGTGATCACTCCTCCTCAATAATTGGTTCACGAATTCCGAAGGAGAGGTGCAGGTTCAATTCCTGCCGGGGGCATAGAAGGATTTGACGACCGCTTTTGTTCCAGGAGCAGCTGCACGAGCGGGATAATTCCAGGGTCGATGGGAAGGAGGAAGCTCCCGTGGATCGTGGTGAATCACTCCTGCTGGATAGCCGGTACCTCATACAATCAAAGGAGAAGTGCAGCTTCCATTCCCGCTGGGGCATCACAAGTATTCAATTTTTTTTGTTCAAAAAAGTAGGGTAAATGAGGGGCTGGAGGGAAGGTAGAAAGACCCCGTGGATAGTCGTGATCACTCCCTCCCAATAGCACTCTCGCGGAGTCCCTGGGAGAGGTGTAGGTTCAATTCCTGCCGGGGGTATGAGCGTATAGGAAACGGTTTTTATTCGGATGTTAGAGGAACGGCTAAAAGGGTAGACCTTGCGACTCCGGGTGTGGTCTTCAGGGAATGAGTCTATGTTTCACAGAAAGCGGTCGTTCTTCGCATATACGCATGGGCCAAGACGCATCAAGCGTTCTTGAACCACACCCGTACCTCTCTATGTGAAACATTCAGGGCGAACGGGTACGCTTGTGCTTGGAATATGTTGAACCCTCTAGTGTGAGTCGACGCTACGATTGGCAGCTCGCGGCTCCGTGGATGCGATTCCGACATCGGGCCCGGATATCGCCAAGAAGAGAAGCGCCGGACCAAGTTCCTGTCTGAGGAAGTGCGGGGACCACAAGGCTTATCAAGGAGAAGCACAGTACTAGCGCGGGGACAGTGAAGCAGCGTAGCATACCGGAATCGCGGATTGGCAGGAGACCCGAGCCCGCAGAATCAGACGTTGCACCAATTCATGAGATAGGTACCGATCCAGGGGCTGGGATAGCGCCGTACACCGGGGGTTTGTCACTTTTCAATTAGTGCGATTTTATTGGGTGGATGGGAGCCGAGCTGATCACTTTCTCATACCTTCTCAAACGGGAAAGTACGTTCGACGCGGAAGACTCTCGTTCCCGAGGAGACTAATAGTATCTTCTTCGATTTGAGATGAACGACATGGGACAGAATTAAATCAGGTTGGGCACATTTTTGGCGGGCCTAAAAGATTCAGCATCTCCTGAGAGAGCATTCACGAATTCAAAAGGAACTTTTAGTAGACTCGGGCCCGAAATAGGAATGTTCACATTCTCCGAGAGTCCCAGGGAACGGGAGAGATACGCACAAGCACCAACGATAAGAGCGCAATTCGCATGAAATTCTGCTGCCTCTATGAATATATCGCATTAGTAAATTCTAAACATGGAAAGATAGACGGGCGCACACTCTAGCCGCGGAAACCTTTGCTGGACTTGTTGACCAGTGCGTGACAATTGAAGACGATCCCGCAGGCCGCATTGATGTTCGGACTGACCTGGCCCAGGTGGCCAACTTATTTCGTGCCACACGGGAGCCACGGGGGTGCTATGGCTGCAGAGGGAATGCGAGTGCTGCAGAGCATGGGCGAGAACCAGGCGCGTGGACTGAAAATTGCCTTTAGTTCCAGAATAGCGACAGCGCGGGAGTAATTGAAGTTCAATTTTGGGTCTTGTGCCAGAAATAATCTGAGTCGCGTTGGGAGCAAGCAAGAAACCGTGAGAGACATCGGCTAAAAGCAGCGAACCGTGGTCCGCAGGTTCCCCGTTCGGGCATGGCAAGGCTTATCACGGAGAAGCACCGTGAAGCAATAGAACAAACCGAGATCGCGGATTGGTAGGAGACCCGAGTCCGTAGAATCAGACGTTGCACCAGTTGATGAGAGGCAGGTACGGATCCAGGGACGGGGAGAGTTCCCGGGACCGGGGTCCCTCAAATCAGTGAGATTTCATTGGGTGTAACATGTCTAATTGTACGTCCATCTCAGTGATGAACATTCGACGGGATAGAAATGGCTTGGCAGTTAAGACATCTTTCTGGGAGCGAGCCCGGGAAACTGTTGGGGCCTCAGCTACCAATGCGTCAATCAGCGAACCAAGCAAGAGCTTGAAGGACATCCGTACTCCGGGCCCCGGCGCTGCCAGTGGTCGGCGCCCGAGTCGCACGACTTGCGTCAGGTAGGAGTCTTGGGGGCATGCGAGTGTGCGTCAGAAGAGTAAAACCGGCTGGAGGTTTGGTGGAGGTCAAGGTAGAAGACTCTCAAAGCCGAGGATAATAAATGATGCGCTGTCCAATTTCGTCTTCTGCCGAGATCCCGCCAATTTCCGCCGGCGCCGCCGCATCAATCAGGTCTTGTTGTTCCGTTGTATCTTTCGAGATTTTCGTCGTTTGCGTGGTTTCCGATCATTGCATTAGGTCCCATGATGTGAGATGCTGGACTTGTTAAATGCAAGGAGATGTGGAGGTTCGATTCCTGCGAGGGGCATGAGGGAGTAATCGATCGATGCTTTTGTTCGAGGAACAGCTAAAAAGAGGGGCGGGTAAAGGATAGGTAAGAAGCCCCGTGGATCGTGATGATCACTCCTCCTCAATAACTCGTCTACGAGATCGGAAGGAGAGGTGTAGGTTCGATTCCTGCCAGGGGCATAGAACGATTTGACCACTGCTTTTGTTCCAGGAACCGGCTGGAAAGAGAAGAATGAATGAGGGGAGACGAGGGGGTAAAGAAAAGGTAGGAAGTCCCCGTAGATTGTGGCGATCACTCCTACCTGGTGCGTATAGCCCATACCATACAGTGGAGAGATGTAGGTTTGATTCCTGCCGGGGGCATGGAACATTAACAACTCTGTTTTCCTATGTTCTTCAACAACAGCTAGAAAGACGAGGGTAAGTACGGGGGTCGATGTGAGGGAAGAAGTCCCCGTGGATCGTGGTGATCACTCCTGCTGGATGTGTGAACAACCTTATGCAATTAAAGGATAGATGTAGTTTCGATTCCTGCCGGGGGCATAAGCAGATTCAGCAGAATCAACAGATGTTTTGTTCCCAGAGCGGCTAAAGGCTGGGGTAAATACAGAGCTAGAGGGTAGGTAGGAAGCCCCCGTGGATCGTGGTGATCACTCTTGCCTGGTACAGCGGATCCATATATAAAGGAGAAAAACAGGTTCGATTCCTGCCGGGGCATAGCATAGATTACAAAGTTTTTTATTCGGATGTTCGCGGAACAGCTAAAAGGGTAGGATAAATCCGGGAGAAAATCGGAGGTAGGAAGTCTCCGTGGATGTGATGATCACTCCTTCCAAATGACCAGTCTGAAAACAGTCCATGGAGAGGAGCAGCTCGATTCTGCGGGGCATCTCGCAGAAGTTTGTTTCGAGGAAAAGGTAAAAGACGAGGGCAAATACGGGCTGAATGGGAGGAAGGAAGTTCCCGTGGATCGCGGTGGATCGCTCCTAACTGATGTAAGGATATCCTGTGGTAAAGGAAGAGGTGCAGGTTCGAATCCTGCCCGGGGCATGCGGGAGTATTTGAAGAATGCTTTTGTTCCAAGAACAGCTCAAAGGTTAGGGAAAACAAGGGGGATGGAGGTTAGGAAGAACGCCCCCGTGGATCGTGGTGATCACTCCTGCTGGATGGCCGGTATCCCATATAATCAAAAGAGAGGTGTAGGTTCGATTCCTGCCGACGGTATTAGTAAACGATCAACGCTTTTGTTCCCAGAACAGCTGAAAGGTAGGGTAAATACGGGACTAGAGGGTAGGTAGGAAGCCCCCGTGGATCGTGGTGGATCGCTCCTAACTGATGTATCGCAAGTTACATATCCATGCAAGGAGATGTGCAGGTTCGATTCCTACCGGGGGCATGAAGCAGTTCCGTGTGTCCTTTTTTTATTGGGATGTTCGAAGAACAGCTGAAAGAGCGGGATGAATGAAAGGGTAAAGGAAGCCCCGTGGATCGCGGTGATCACTCCCTCTAACTAGCGAGGCGACTGTTGCCTGGGAGATGTGTAGGTTCGATTCCTACCGGGGGCATGAGCGGAATTTATCCATGTTTTTGTTCCAGGAAACACGTAAAAAAGACGAGGGTAGCTGGATATCGAGTTGGTATCTATGCAATCAAAGGAGAGCAGCAGGTTCGATTCCTGCCGGGGGCCGGGCTCGCCGCAACCGCACTAACCTTTTTTGGAATTCCGGTTTCTAAGAGGGATCCAAAAGAACACGGTGGATAAATACAGGCCTAGAGGGTAGGTAGGAAGACCCCATGGACCGTGGTAATCACTCTTGCCTGGTGCAGCGATGACCCCATATACAAAGGAGGTTTGATTCCTGCCGGAGGCATGAACCTTAAGAAGAAGTTTTTATTTGGATGGTCGGGGAGCGGCTCAACTTGAAAGGACAGGGTAAATAAAGGGTAGTTAGGAAGCCCCCGTGGATCGTGGGGATCCCTCCTGCTGGATATTGATTCGTTCTCTTATGGACTCAAAGGAGAGGTGCAGGTTCGATTCCTGCCGGGGGCATGGGCGTTACGGGAAACATTTTTATTCGGATGTTCGCGGAACAACTAGAAGAGCCGGGTAAATCCAGGAGTTGATGGGAGGTGGGAAGCTCCCGTGGATCGTGGTGGATCCTTCCTGAACTATAGGAACTATAGGTGAAGGATCATCGTTGGGAAACGATTCCTCGCGGGGCGTACTTAGCCGATTTGGTATCTTTTTTATTGTTTTCCATGGAAGGGATATCCTTTCTGTCAATAAAAACACCAGAAACGCGTCGAAAATCCTTCTGCACGCGCGCGAGTACACAGCGCGACTTGTCCCACGTGACGGCGCCGTGATGGCCAACAAACGCCGATTACTGATCAACCACGCCGCTTCCTGCCCTTCGACTGCGTCGCGACTCCGCCGTTCCCACCTTTTCCCGATTTCGATTCGTGGCCCTCCTTCTTCCTCACCCCGGCGTCCGTCCTGTAGACAGCGCAACGTTCGCACCCCCCGTGTCTATTCGGCCCGCAGCCCCTCTTGTTGTCCGCCATGTTTTTCTATTGTACTGACACCCCCCCAGAAAGGCTCCCTCCCCACCACACGCCTCCGCGCGCACCGCTCCAAGATCTACGGCATCGACTGGAGCCCCGCGGACCGCGACGCGCTTGTCACCTGCGCGCTCGACGGCACGATCAAGGTGTGGGACGTGGGGGCCGTGCGGTCGGCGAGTGTGCGGGCGGGGGGTGGGGTGGGGGTGGGGGTGGGGAGGGGCTGTATGGCGCGGTACGTGGTTTCCTCCCCGCCTCGCTTCGCTTCGCCCACTGATTGTTCCCATACAGACGCCGGGCACCGGCACGGACGCGTGGGGCTGCGCGTCGTGCGACACCGCCGATGCGCCGGGCACGGGCACGGAGCCGCGCCCGGTGCAGACGATCCGCACGGCGCACCCGGTGTGGCGCGCGTGGCACCTGCCGTTTGGACGGGGCGTGCTGGGGCTGCCGCAGCGCGGGGGGACGGGGCTGGGGATGTGGGCTGTAAGGGGTGCGTTTCGTCTTCTTGTTTTTGGCCTTCGTATATCGGTATACTCGTCCTGCCTTTCCTTCTGCGTTCTACTACCTCTTCGTCCTTCGTCCTCCTTGTTTTCCACTCCACTTTTCGTCCTTTTCTCGAGTCCTTCGTTTCCCCGACACCCGCCCCCGTCCTTTCTCTACGCTGTCCTCCATCCGTTGTCCAATGGGCGTCGACTATGCTACCTTCTCCTTCATCCTGCTTCTCACTACGGTTTCGTTCATCCCCCGGGTGCCCTACCATGTCCCCTCCGTCCTGCGTCATACGCGCTGCCTCCTGATTCCTCCTTTTGCGTACTCTTGCTACCTCCGTTTCCGTTTTTCATTTTACGTCCTCGGGCCTTCCTCCGCATACTCCTTCCACGTCCCACCAGCCTCCAGTCGTCTGTCGTACTGTGTCCGTCTATATCCCTGTCAACAGTTGGTCAATAGAGGCTTTTATTCCCGGTTTGACTGGGGAGGAAACTGGATTTGACCACCGATTGGCGACAACCTCGCCGCTTAACAAGCTCTTGGGCCGCTCCACAACCGCTCCTTACTAGTCTGTTACGAACAGCTTCCCCTTGCAGACGACATCGAGCACCCCTTTGACGAAGACTGCCATCTCATCGCTGGTGAATCCACGGAGTATGTACACTGTATTCTACTCTTCGGCTTGTGAGGTATTAAATGGCCAGCGGGATACCTATGACGCAGATCGTAGAACCCCCATTACGTCGGAGCGGATCAACAGAATTTCATTCTATCGCGACCCAGAGAACACTTGACGAGCCCGGCGATGCTGGACGTTTCATTTTGTCAACGGCAAAGCGAAACGCAACTAGTATGTTCAAACCTGAGAAGAAAATTGAGAAGGCCCCGGGGGCCTTCAAAACAGTTATCACTGCAAGTTGTAGGTAACTCCCTCTTCCATGTCGCCTCCGGGCTAACATGACCACAGGGACCAACGTTTTACTCGTCTTCATCCCGATCACGGTAAGTAGCCAATGCCGGCCAGGGGCACCATCCCTCTCACTACCCCCACATGAAGTTTGCTGTCCGTTTTGCGCAAGGTGGCTCAAGCCGTGAGGTTTTCGCATGTAAGGGTGCAATGTTTAACCTGTTTTCATCTTCTAAAATATCTTTGCATCTTCTAAAATATCTGTACAGTTTCATTCCTTGCCTTGGTGGCGACGGCGAAAATGTTCGGATTTGCAATGGAGGAATTGAGATTGCGTGTCGGGCCGGAACTTGGAAGGTTCATCCAGGTCCTTGCGGGCAATGCCATTGAGCTCATATCCGGTGTGAGTGGGTTTGACGACGAATTGCAGACGTTCCTAACTTGGTAGATTATCGCAATAACTCAATGCCAGTTGGAACTGCTTCAAGCTTCGCGTATGCCAAATTATGGTTTCCCGATCGCTGACTATATCTTCTTTGGTAGTTGTGGGGTCCATCCTGATAAATATCCTTCTTGCCCTCGGCGCCGCAAGTAAGTTCAAACGGCATGTCTCAACGAGACCTTTTTGACGAGAATTCGAGTGGTCTTTGGCGGCATTAAATTTTCGGAACTGGCCTTTAGCCTGGGTCACGCAAACACTGCGAGTCACACTGACCGGTCGAACATTTCTCACCGCACAACGGGTCGGATTGATTCTCATTCCTCTTGCTGGAATCTGCGCCCGTGAGCTGAACACCGGGTCCCCCGCGCGTTGGTTCCCTGAGTGTTGTATATTATCCAGGACACGATTTACTCGAGGCCTGGAAATATGGGCAAGAGGTGATTCGGAGAAATTAGTTCTAAGGTTGATTCGGCGCAACTTATTGTTATTGCAGGACAAAATGACCGACTCGTTGGCGTGCGGCATATCTCATTCTATCTGAGCTCGATGTTTTCAGCTAGTCTCTCAATGGGATCCAGTGTGGTAGGTGATTTGAATTCCAAGGAGTTGTGCTTCAATACTGTTCCTAGAACCTCTCGCTGTTCATTCAACCGTACGCTTGTAGGAATTAGCTCGTAATCTTGCCTACTAATAATTTTCAGTATTCTTATTCTCCTTGCCTGGCCGATGCACAAGGTGTGTTGTGTAGTATTTCTTATAATAGCAAGATCTTGATACAGCTAAAACAGAATCTAACACTGTTGTACGACCCGTTTGAGACCCTGGTAAGACACCAGACCAGAAAACGATACTCCTGTTCACTATTCCTTTGGCAAAGCTCTCTTCTTGAGCGGTATGTCACCGCTTTCTTTCTGATACGTACCATTGATGGTGAATAAACTCAACGTCCTCCTCATCAACATCTTCTTAACTCAAGGCAAAAGTGAATGGCTAACCGGTGCAATATTGATAGGTGTGTTCGATTTCCTGTGTGTTCAGGCCGCTTGCACACCCCAACGTCCTTCCTCCCCTTCAGTTTTTGACGCCCTGATTGTGTGTTAACTTTACTGTGGTGGTGTAATTGCAGCTGACTAGTTCAGGCTATATCATTCTGGTTTTATGTCAGTTCCATTTCGTACGCTGCTGTCATGCATGATCTGAAATTGACCCAAATTCCAGACTGGAACCCACGTCTTCCGCAGCTTGATTTTGGCATGTTGATGCCTCAGAGTTTGATACCTCAGAGTGTTGGATAGGAAAGGTGTACAGAGAATTCGAAAGTGGTCGGTCAGTCCTCTGTATATTCGAAATCTTACTGGCTTCAGATTTCTTGTCATATTTTTCGCTTTCCCCGATGTACACTATGCAAAGTTTTGCGGCCGCTGCGGAATCTACAGCTGTGGTGGTAGTTTCTGAGCACCGGTCATCACTCCATCATGTAGGTTTAGCATAGCCATATCATTTATATTTTACAGGGAGGAGTAAGATATATTACCGCGGTGGTCCCAATGAGGAATGTACGAGTACTGTACCTACATACACAACCTCTATGTATGCTACAGTCATCTACTTCGAACGATGCGACAGAGATGCGATGAAATCCTCTCATGAAACGAGAAGTTATAGATGGGAGAGTGCCAGCAAGTGCTACGGAATACCAAACAAAACCTTCTGGAATGAACCGCTGGTATCTTTCGTAGATGTTAGATAACGCTTTTTATTCGAATGGTCGAGGAACAGCTGAAAGGGTAGGGTAAATACGGGGCCAGGGGGTAGGTAGGAAGCCCCCGTGGATCGTGGTGGATCACTCCTACCTGGTAAAGCGACAGAGCGACCGCCATATACAAAGGAGAGGTGTAGGTTCGATTCCTGCCGGGGGTATTAGTAAACGACCAACGTTTTTGTTCGCGGAAACAGCTAAAGGCCAGGGTAAATACGGGGCAAGAGGGTAGGG